CGCTCCCGTGGGCCCCCGCGGGCCGCGGCCCCAAACTCCCGAGGGCGCTCTGCTTCCCAGCGCTGCGCATGAGAACGTCGAGCCCGCCCCCAGATAGGGGAACAACAAGTGACATAAACATAACAACTCGGAGGTCCGCGCGAATTTCTCGGATCGGCGCTGGGGCCCCCCGGCGGCGCCTCCGGCGCCGCCCCTGGCGCGCTCCGCGCGCCAGGGAAGGGGGTCCAGCGCCGATCCGAGAAATCCGAGCGGACCTCCGAGTTTTTATGTTTATGTCACTTGTTGTTCCCCTACCAGAGGCGATACCAGCTCGGAAAAACGCCGATGGGACGGAAGCCCCCGGAGGCCTTGCCCAGGATTTGGCGTCGCTCGGACGTGTGCATTTTTCCTTCGGCGAGGACCATCGAGGAGCATCCTGGATCATGTGGCGAAAACGCCACGCACGAAACCGAACAAAAACACTCGGAATGGACGTCCGAGCGATGCCCAGTGCCCTCCTCCTCCTCCTCCTCCTCCTCCTCCTCCTCCTCCTCCACCTCCTCAATTTGGACGTTGGCCAAACCTGAATCCTGCGATTGTGGCGTTCTCCTTCTTTTTCCTCCTCCTCCTCCTCCTCCTCCTCCTCCTGGCCCTCCTGGGCAAGGCCTCGCAGGAGGCCTTGCCCGGGAGGGCCACGAGAGCCCGAGAGATCTGGAGCGGCAGGGCGCCCGCGGCCTCCACGGCACAGAGAACCAAGAGGGCAGGGCAGCGGAGGGCCCCGTCGCAGAGCGGCGCGCAGCGGCGGCAGGTGGGAGCCATCCGCACACTCCACAGCACTGGAGAGGCGATGCTCCAGATGTCGTAATAGAAGGGAGGGGGTCTGGACCCTCCAAGACAAGCCATTCCAGACCTCCCCCCCGTGGGAGAACCCTCCAAAACATCGCCCCCGGACCCCCCAGGCCCTCCAGGATAGCCTGAAGAGACCCCCCGCGAAATGAGACCCCCCTCCCTTTATTACGAAATCTGGAGTACCTCTTCGAAGAATTCGAAGCTCTGACGGACCTAAGACAGGCAGGGGTTCGCGCGGGGGGAGTCATCAACGCCAAGCCCATCACCGGCCCCCCAAATCGACGCGAACTGGCCGGCCTTGGCCCTCAAGAGAACCGTGGGGTCGGCCACAACCATGCCACCGGCCGTGAGCGTAGTGCTAGGGCTGCTAGGGGTCCAGGGCTCAGGGTCTTTAATCGCACGCTGGGCATTGCGACTACCTTTGTTCAACCCTTCACGAACCCAGTCCTGCCAAGCCGCCTTGGCCTTAGCAGAGGCCGCCGCCTTAACATTCAAACAGGCTTAATCGACCGAGTCGAGCAAGGCGTCCAGATCCGAGCGACTGTTGGCCAGCGCTACAGGAATCGAACTGCCAACAGGATCGCAGTGACACCCATCGTCGCTCGGCCGTCCTGACGCACAACAAGTGTGCAAGCCTCCTGCGCCTTCGACTGGCTCGGAGCGCGTCCTGAGACCGTGCAGATCGAAACTGCGGGATGCAGAAACATGGGGACGAGAGAGATCCTCCAGGCAGCGGGAAGCTAGGCCGGCACCAGCCTGGAAGACCTGGTGCCAGTCCGAGTCGGCCCGTGCAGCGACGTCGTCTGGCACGCGAACGACGTCGAGCGCAACACCTCGACCGGCAGAAGACATAACCGCACCATCGCATAAAAGGTAGCTCCTGAACGCCCACAACTGCGCAGCGAGGAGGAGGAGGAGGAGGAGGTGGAGGAGGAGGAGGAGGAGGAAGAGGAGGAGGAGGAGGAGGAGGAGGAGGAGGAGGAGGAGGAGGAGAAAAAGGAGGAGGAGGAGGTGGAGGAGGAGGAGAAAAAGGAGGAGGAGGAGGTGATGGATCTAAGGCCTGGGCCCTCAACTTTACCAGCTGATTTCAAGGCCGACTTCCAGATCAGCTTGGGGCGTTTGCTTCTCACGCCGTGGGCGGGTGGGTCGACCCCGAGGGCCCTCTCCAGATCGGCCTCAGCCGAGTTGGCCCAAAGACGGTACCCAGGGGTGAGCATCTGCCTAGCCCTGTCCACGTCGCCAGACAGGACAGTCTCATAGGCCGACTCAGCCTTAGCCAAAGCTTGAGACCAACCCCCAGGGCAAGGCTGCGGCCCCACAGGAGGTGCAGCAGGGAGGTCAGGAGGGCGGCGGAGAGCGGGAGCTTTGAGAGAGCCTGAGGACGGGTGGAATTTGGCAGCGACAGGTTTGTGAGGCGACAGGTCCGATTCCGTGACAACCCTACCCTGCTGCAAACACCGCCCCAAGGCTTCGGAAACGGCGAAAAAGCCAAATGGCTCAGGAGCACCTCCTCCAGAAGGGCAGTGCGTGTGTCCCGCCGCAGGGACGATAACTCCTTGGAGAAGCTCCGCGAAGTTGGTCTCAAACAGGGCACCAGAGGAAAAACTGCCCCCCCCCAGCACCCCCCCCCCCAGCAACAACACAGTCACGCCCCTGGGTTTCCAAGAACACATCGTCGGCCCGCAGGATGTCCAAATTAGCTTCCGACAGTCCTTGAGAGTGGAACAAGTAGACAGCCAGTGGAACAAAGTCGCTTGACGCGATGGCGAAGGGCGAGCAGCCAGGCACGTGGATCAAAGCGGCCACAGCCCGTCCGTCGGCAAGGACAGCTTCGGATGCCTCGCAGCATCCGAGGCCGTCTCGAACAGCCACCACGACTCCAGAAGAGGCTCCGCCACCTTCTCCGAGCACTCCCCGTCCTTCGGCAAGGACAGCTTCAGATGCCTCGTAGCCTCCGAGGGCCGTCTCGAGCAGCCACCGTGACTCCCGAAGAGGCTCCGCCACCCTCTCCGAGCCCTCCAGGCGCCCAGGAGTCCCCGTGGATGGCAGCTATCTCCAGCTGGAAAAGCCCGAGGACTCGCGAGAGACCGGCGAGGGCACGGGCCTGGGGGGTTCCGCGCCAGGGGGGCCAGGGGCAATTCCTGCCTCGCTGGGGGCCAAGGGGGCAACCCAAGGCGTGGACTCGGGAGTGGCAGCCCTGAAGACAGCCAGGACACGCTGAAACAATCTGATCCCAGAGATCCTGGACTTCGAAGCACTGGACGAGGTTCGAGACGCCAAACAGGTCAAACACTGGACGAACGGCCGAACGAGCCTTGGCGCCGAAACAAAAGAAGCCCCCCCCCCTCTCAAGCCGAGGGCGGGGGGGGGGGGGGCGGCACTGCGCTCAGAGGCATGAGGAGCAGCGCCTGCACGTGCACGAACATCAGGAGCTGACGGCTCGGCGGCAGGATCCCGCTGACGGAGAGCCCCGGCCTCGCCCGCGGCCCTCGCCCCGCTCGCAGGCTCGTCGGCGGCCTCGCCAGCGCCGGCGCCTCCGCCAGCCTCAGCGACGCCACCTTCGCGTTTTCGTCTCTTGCCAGGAAGAGGGGCCTCGTGAGCTTGGCGGGCTGCTTGTGCGGCCTTGGCCTGGTCGACCGCCCGCTGGAACGGTTTGCCTGGCCATGTCCGAGATGCCCTTGGAAAGGGCCGCCGTGCGCTTCTGCGTCTCCTCGCGGTCTGACTCCGACAGCTCCAGGTCCTCGTCTTTGCCGAAGTCCTCCAGAATGTCGCAGCTGATGATGGAGCTGATGTCAACGGTGCCTGACAGCATGTCCTCCAGCTTGAGCTCGGCCGTCTCTGGGCTGGGTGCAACCATGGAGTCCTCCGCCAACTTCTGAACCGCTTCCTTGTAGATGCGATCAGCTTCCTGGAGTTCAGCACCGACGCGTTTGACCTTCTCAGCTTGCTCCTGTGCCTCACACTGCAAACGGAGCATGCGCGCCAATTCAGTGTCCAGCTGCTTCTCCAGACGGCGAACATGACCATGCTGCTGTTGCGCCGCCCGATGAGCTGAAGGAGTGATCTTGGAGCGCGCCTCTGCCACCGCCAGGTTCTTGGCGAAGGCTGAGTAGTGAGCCGCGCCGGCCTTGTCGCCCGCCTTGCCGCACAGCCTGGCAAGTTCCGTGGCCTCGTCATTGGACAGGTTGGGCACGGCACCCACAGGCTTGGGCGGCGCCTGCCCTTGACGAGGAGGCGACCCTCCAGGACCAGCACCTGCCCCGCCGAAGCCCTTGCCCTTGCCGCTTTTGAAGCCCTTGACACCCGAGGAGGAGACACCAGCGGCCCTGGCCTTGCCTCCCACGCACGACACTGGATGCCCAAAGGAGCCAAGTGGCAACGAATTGCGTGACCATGCGCCTTGAGCCGCGGGAACATGACCGACAGACAGGCGAGGAAGAGGAGCGTGACAATGAAAGCACCATGAGTCGCCAGGGGCATTTTTCTTGCACCCACAGCACGAGCATGCCATGCCTTTACGTTTGCCCTTCTGCTTTCCATTCCCTTTGGCTCCTCCGTCTGGGGCAGTCCACTCCTCTGAAAGCACCCATGGCGCATATGAGAAAGAAGGAAGTGGCACCATCGCTGGAAGTAGCAGGGAAAAGGAAGGCCCTGTAGACAGAACGTGATGGAGAGTATATCTGGCGGGCGAACGCCGGAGAAAGCAGTCGGGGGCCGCAATATCCCCCCCCGCCAAAACTCAAGGTCCTCGAGAACAGCCGCTACGGACTTGAGCCAAAATGGCTACGGACCTCCTCCTCCTCCTCCTCCTCCTCCTCCTCCTCCTCCCCCTCCCCCTCCCTCTCCTCCTCCTCCTCCTCCCCCTCCCGTATATGGACAATAAATTCGGACCGTTACACATTCGAGGGAGATTCTAAATCACCCCCGCGCCCCCGACATCAATGTTGATCTCAGTAAAGGCGGTGCTTTGGGCTTCGAATATTTCTGTCCACTCACGCCCCCCCGTCGCCACGCCATCAATGTTAATTTCGGGGGGTCTGGGGGGCATCTTGGGCCGCAGGGTTCGACCATCATGTCCATGTGCTGTCCCTCTCCCTCCTGCGGGGAGCGAACAGGGGCGGCGCGCGGACCTCCGCAGAGCAGCCCCCGCGAGCGCGCGGCGACGCCGCAAGGCGCCTGCGCGCCACGGCACCAAGAGGAAGACTTGGCAGGGGGGCGCGCCGCCTCCGCCGCCCGCCGCTCGGCTGCCCGACGACGACAACGACGACGACGACGACGACGACGACGACGACGACAACCCGCACCGACGACGACGACGACGACGACGACGACGACGACCGGCGACGACGACGACGACGACGACGACGACGGTGGCGGCGACGACGGCGACGAAGACGGCGACGGCGGCGGCGGCGGTGGCGACGACGACGTCGACGTCGATGGCGACGACGACGACGACTACTTTAGCGGTGGCGCCGACTCCAGTGCGACTCCAGTAGTCGTTAGTGTTGTTGTAGTTCTTGTAATGGCAAAATCAGTAGTGGTTGCGGTGGCAGTGAGTGGCATCGGTGGTCGCAGTCGCGGTGCCAGTGGCAGCAGCAGAAGTGGGAGGAGGCAGGAGGAGAGGGAGGTGAAGGAGCATGATGAGCGGGGGGGCGGGAGGTGGAACCGGGCAGGGCGAGGGAGGACGACACGGGCGCAGGGTCGATTGCGCACGTAAGGGTGAGCCTTCGCTGGAGTGACCTTTGGTGCGGGCTCACAGGGGTGCCCCCAGCACCGGCCGGCACGCTTGGATTTGGCCCCCCTCGCGGCCCCCGAAAGCCGCACACCAGCGCGCACTCTTGCCCAGGGTCTCTCTTACGTGGTAGCCGACAGGAGGAGGCAGCGGATGCCAACGCGTGCGTAGCCATGCCATTGGCTCGAGCCCGCATGCCTGGGCCTCGGCGGGCTCGCGCGGCGTGGCCTCGCATCGGCGGCGTTCTGGCGTCTCGTGTATCCTGACGCCTGCGGCTTCCGCGATGTGTGGCGGGCTAGAGCTGGGCATAGCTCAAAGCGGACGGGAGGATGAGGCGGAGGAGGGGGGGAGGAATGCCCCCATGCCCTTCTGACACTCTGCCCCTAAGGTCCTATGCCGCGTTTATGGGGGGGGGGGGGGGGAGAAGGACAGGACGGAGGAGGGAGGAGGTGGGAGGGATGGGCAGATCTGAGGCTGGATCTCAAAGCGGATGGAGGAGGAGAAGGAGGAAAAGGAGGAGGAGCAGGGGCAGGAGGAGGGAGGGACCTCAAAGCGGACCCTACGCCCTTGTGCCCCTGCAGCCAAGACGCTGAAGTGAGGACCGCCTCGGGCTCGGAGGGGGCCCGCCGCTCCTGAGGTCCTGCCTTGACTGTTCCTCTGGCCCTCCTCGTGCACCCGGGCGCTCCTGGGGCCCAAAAAGGGGCTTCGTACTGCAGTCTTGCAGCGCACAATCCTTTCCGCTCGCTGCCAGAGGCACCTTTGGCCATGGTACTGCCGCTTCGTCGGCGGTCCGCGGAGGTGCCAGCGGCAGTGGTCCCCGTCAGAGCGCACCGTCCGATGCCACTCGGTGCAGAGGCGCAGCTCTAAAGCAGGGTTTTCTCCGAAGCATGGGCGGAGTGGCCACGCGCTGGAGGCTTCCACTCTGGGCCGACGACATCACCAAGATGCGCACCGCCAGGCACAGCGTCGCGTCCTCCTCCGACCGCAACGCGTCCATCTCTTGCCGCTGCGGCTACGTGACGCTCACCTTCGCCACGCGCCAGCCGGTGCATGCCTTCGAGTGTTGTTGCGTCGATTGCTACGAGAAGAACCTCTGGTCGTGCCGCGCTGGAGGTGTCTGCCCGCCCGCGGGCCTTGAAGCACACGGCGTCGGGGAGCCGCTCGACCTTCGCTATTTCCCAAACCGGCTCACGGTCAGCGGCAAGGAGAAGCTCTCGTTTAACCGCCTGCGCGAAGGCGCAGCCTCGACTAACATGGTGGCCTCGTGTTGCCAGACGCTCCTCTGCGTCGAGCACCCCGCATATGGCGGCAACGTGGTGCTCGTGTTCCCGCAGTTCACGCCGCTCGCCGACGCCGGCGAGCTCTCGCCGCCGCTCCTGCGCGTCCACATCAGGGACTGGCCGGCCGACGCCTACGCGCAGCTGCCGCCCAGGCCCGGCGTCTGGAGGGACCCGGCCACGCAGGAGCGGCGTGGCAGTTCGCCCGAGGCGCTCGAGCTGATGTCGCGGCTGCTGGCCGCCTTCACCACGCCGCCCTCCGCCGCGCTGGCGGGCGAGACCTTCCAGGCGCTGCTCGCCGCGTGCGCTGGCGGGTGGGTCGAGGTGCTCGACCTCCCTGAGAGCGTGCGCAGCCACCGCCTGCAGGGTGGGGGCAGCGCGCTGCGGCGTGGGTCGTGACGCCCGCCTGGCGGGCCCGGCGTGTGTGCGTGCGTGCATGCGTGCGTGGGTGCGTGGGCGGGCGTGGGCGTGGGCGTGGGCGTGGGCGTGGGTGTGGGTGTGGATGTGGGTGTGGGTGTGTGTGTGGGTGTGGGTGTGGGTGGGTGTTTGTGCTTGTGCTTGTGCTTGTGCTTCTGCTTGTGATTGTGCTTGTGCTTGTGCTTGTGCTTGTGTGTGTGTGTTCATGTGTGTGCGTGTGTGTGTGCGTGGGCGTTTGTGTTTGTGTGTGTGTTCATGTGGGTGGGTGGGTGGGTTGGTGTGGGTGGGTGCTGTGTTGGCCACGAACAATGTTCCGGACGTTCCGGACATGCTCCGGACAAAAATTTGTTCCGGACAATTTGTTCCGGACATTTGTTCCGGACAATTGTAGGAATTGACGTCCTTGGGGGCCGCGCGAGCGCCCTCGGCCTGGAGCCACCATGGGAGCCTGTCGCGGCCCAGAAACGTACGATTCGGGGCCCGCTGGCTCCGCATCATTTGAAATCTACGTCCCTGGGCGGGGGTGGAAGCGGAGGAGGAGGACGAGGAGCGGGTTGAGGAGGAGGAGGAGGAGGAGGAGGAGGGGGGAGGAGGATGAAGAGGTCGAGGGGGAACGAGGAGGATCGAAGAGGTAGAGAGGATGGAGGGTGGGAGGGGGCGAGGGAGGGAGGGAGGAGGAGGAGGAGGACGAGGAGGAGTTGCTTTTGCTCAGTTGGGGCCCTCGGCCACAGCGGGGGGGAAGGACGAGGGGAGGAGGAGGCCCAGTACAGCCCCAAAACGACCCCAAGAGCAGGCCCAAAGGGCAAAACCGAACAGACTTTCCGAGCCCTCGCCTCCAAGACGCTTCAGGAGGTCCCGAACAGCTTCCTCAAAGTCCCAAAGAGGCCCCAAGATGACCCCAAACGGACCCCAAGAGGCCCCCAGGAGGTCGCCAGGAGGGCCACAAACTGCGCCCCACAGGCCCACGGACGACTTCCGATTGGATTCTCACCCACAACCCAAATGCCGAGCCAGAGGTGGCCCGATGTGGGCGTACTGCCTCATTCCAGGGGTCGGCGGACGTGGCGTAAACCTATAAAATGATTGCGCCCCAGGGCGCCAGAATCGTTGCGAGCGGCCGCCAGAAGCCCGAGTTACGCCCCAAAAAGATCAAGGCTTCACATTGAAGTCAAACCTTGATGTGAAGCCTTGTGTTTTTTCACCCAGGGACCTCCATTTTAGTCCTCCCAGCGCCAAGCTGCTCAAAATCTGCGTCCCTGGGAGGCGGTGGGCGCGCAGATGGGGGAGAGCTCAGGGCCGCTGGGGGCCCTTTTCTACAGCCCTCCCGCCGCCCAGGGACGTAGATTTCGGACGCTCAGGCGCCGCGGGGGGGCAAAATCGACGTCCTTGGGCGGGGGAATCCTCCATGTGGTTGGTTTTCTGGCGTTACTGTTTCGGGGGGGCCAGGTCGGGGGGGGTAACTGGCGTTACCCCTTTCGTATGTTCGACATCAGCATGGGCCCCCTGGCACATTGACCCAACGTATGGTGCGCGACGCGATGATACGGAAGGGGAGGGGGGGAAGCGGGGAGGAGGAGGCGGGGGCGAAGGACGAGGGCGGGGACGAGGGCGAGGAGGACCGAGCCTCGTCTTCCGTTGCCATTTTGGGCCAAGCCCCCCGACGGTCGGTTGCGTTGGCTGGCCCTGGAGGGCGGCAGAGGTTGCTGCGTGCCCAGGGACGTCCATTGAGGCCCCTCCTGGCGTCGGAACACCCGATATCTACGTTCCTGAGCGGCCTGCGGGCCGCGGGCGCTACGAGGCCGGAGGGCCCTGGGGCCCCCAAGGACCTCGGAAGTGGGGGAGCCCAGGGACGTGGAGTCCACGCGTTCGTTCCGGACAATGTTCCGGACAATGTTCCGGGCAGATTCGTTCCGGACGCGGTTCGTGGCCAACACAGCGGTGGGTGGGTGTGGGTGGGTAGGTGTGGGTGTGTATGTGTGGGTGGGTGTGGGTGGGTGGGTGTGGGTGGGTGTGGGTGGGTGTGGGTGGGTGTGCGTGTGGGTGGTGTGGGTGTGGGTGGGTGGGTGTGGGTGGGTGTGGGTGGGTGTGGGTGGGTGTGGGTGGGTGGGTGTGGGTGGGTGGGTGTGGGTGGGCGTGGGTGGGTGGGTGTGGGTGGGTGTGGGTGGGTGTGGGTGGGTGTGCGTGTGGGTGGGTGTGGGTGGGTGTGGGTGGGTGTGCGTGAGTGTAGGTGGGTGTGGGTGGGTGGGTGTGGGTGGGTGGGTGTGGGTGGGTTGATTCTTGGGTGCGTGGGTACGTGCGTGGGTGCGCGGGCCCGCTGATGCGTGAGTCCGTGGGTACGTGGGTATGTACGTTCGTGCGTGCTTGTGCCTGTGCTTGTGCTGTTGCTTGTGCTTATGTGTGTGCTTGTGCTGGTGCTTGTGTTTGTGCTTTAGCGTGTTTGGGCTTGTGTTTGTGTGTGGTTGTGGTTGTGTGTGTGTCTGTGTTTGTGTTTGCTGGTCTGGTTGTGATTATGTGTGTTTGTGCTCGTGTTTGTGTTTGGATGTGTTTGTGGTTGTGATTGTGTGTTGTGTTTGCGTTTGTATTTGTGGTTGTGCTTGAATTTGTGTTTGCGTTTGTGGTTGTGTTTGTGGTTGCACGTGTGGTTGTTAGTGTGTGTGCTTGTGGTTGTGTTTGTGTGTGGTTGCGTGTGTGGTTGTGTTTGTGTTCAGTTCCCGCTCTTGCATGTTGGCCAATTCGTTGCAACGGTGCCCCCGTTCAGTTAGCTCCTTCCGCCAGCGCAGACGACCCCTGCCTAGCCGCCGACGCAAAAACAAAGAGCTTGTGTCTGTGGTCGTGTTTGTGATTGTGTTTATGATTGTGCTTGTGTTTGTGCCTGTGTGTGTTTGTGTTTGTGCTTGTCTTT